TTATACACATATATATTTTTTTTCTCATGTAGACATCTCCAATGTTCAGATAGTCATCATACAATTTCTTAAAGCTTTAAGAAACCACTGTGCGTTGGGTGAGTTTTTCCACATAATGTGCAAGTGTGCTGTGCAAAATGGCACCCTTAACTTACTAGTGTGCCCTTCTCCAGTGCTGTGTGATGCATCCTCTGTCCCCTGCCTGGTCCCCCTCCACCTTCATCTCTGCATGTACACAAGAGTTACATCCTCCCTCATATCAGGCCCATCTTAGAGATGCCGTTAATAGCTGAGAGTGTACACTGCACAGTGCATGCACCATACAATTTACACAGAAAATGAAATATTGCTAGGGGAAAGAGGAAGACTTTTTTTGACAAAAGAGACTTTGCATATCTCTTCTGCCCAAAATCTCTACCTTCTAGCCATTTTTTTAAATTTTAGCTTTAATCCTGAATCTATGCACTCAACCATCCTGGGTACCTGAAGGGTTAATCATCGAGCTGCAGGTCAAGATGAAGATAGGTCCTTAGAAAAATGCTGGAAGATATGAATGAAGCACAAGGCTCACAGTACCTTGGGCTCCTATCACACTGCCAATTTTGTAGCAGTAATTTGTAGCTGCAACAGAATTGCTTTCCTTAGCATGTTTCTCCTAGGAAAAAATACATTGCAGTCAATAAAAGTGATTTGTAGTTTAGTTGCTGAACACTGACTTTTTGCAGCATTTGGATCTAGTGAAAGAGTTACCAGCAACAGTGGATACACATGTTACCGGTATCCAATGCAGCTGCTGATAGCCAAGGCACACCAGAGATTTGTTGCAGCCTAGATAAGCATTGTGGTCAGTCACAGCAGAAACTTTGTATCCACATGAGATCTGCAGAAACATTTGCAGAAACATTTGTAGCCGCTGCAATTCTCTGCTACAAAGTTGCTAGTGTGCCATGGTGCAATACCGATGAGAGAGGATAAATAGCAAAGCAGCAAGTGAACCAGAAAGCATGAACACAGTTGAGACGCACAAATGGTGTTAGACAAATATGGCAGAACCTAAACAGACACATAGATGGTCATACCACCCATCAGTGGAAGTGAAAGCACACTCAAAAGTGACCATTAATGATGTGTGGGGGCTTGGTGTGAACCCAGCTCACCTTAGTCTGCAAAAAACTGTGACTGACACCTTTCCAACCCAATAAGTTTCAGTTGTTGTGGTAGAAGGATCCCCGCCACTTTGTGACATGTAGCTGCAAGTGGGTAATTCCCCTGCTGCAACTGATTGAGTCAGGAGTAGGGTGTCAGTCACAGTTTTGCATGGGCTTGGGTGAACTCAGGTGAAATAGTCCTATTATATGTACTAGCAAAACAAATGACAAAAGCACTCAACAATTCGTCACCAGCTATACAGTAAGGTGCACACGAAATGGGCTTTGAACAGTAAAACAGTAGACAGGTATCATGGCACACTCACAACCAGTAGGACACGCGCTATTGGAGATTCTAGCGCGTGTCCTATGGCGCATGCGCAGAAGGCTCGGATGATCTGATCTGTTTAGACACAGGAGACGTCAGACAGCGGTGCTTACACTGTCTGATAGCGTCCCCGTCACCATGACAACCCGGCTGTCAGCAACCCGATCCAACTTTACATAAAATCACACGCAAAACAATACAATACCAACGGACATGGAACCTAGATACCAATGTATACATATTTGATACGATTATGTTGTATTTTGGTGGGTTCTGACATACCAATCAAATATGACATTTACAGCAATGTTAACCTTTTGTTATGGCGGGAACATGACGTCATTATGACGTCAAGGGGGTGGTCTTGTGTGTTTATTAGTCTTTTTGTGTGTGTGTATATATAATGGTGATGGGGTAAACTTTGAAATGTTCACTTTAAGCCTGATGAAGGGGACCTTGTGCGGTCCCGAAAGCGCTTCATTCCACTTTGAGTGAGTTGACTTCAAAAATAAAATGAAGGTTCACTAAAACTTTGACGTATTTTGTCATATATGGAGCGCTGGTGACATCTATACACAACGATTTTACTTGATACGGCGCCATCCGTAGTCATTGCGAGCACCCATGTTTTCATATGGGAAGTCCGGTAAGGTGTGCTACAGGTCCTTGGACATTTCTACCACTGATCACTACGCGATCGACTGGTAGATCGCGATCGACCTTATGGGCACCCCTGATTTGCACAGTACACATTCACATCAGTCCCTGCCCCTGAGGAGCTTACAATTTAAGGTCCCTATCTCACATACATACAGGGGCAATTTACACAGGAGTTAATTAACCTACCAACATGTCTTTGGAGAGTGAAGGGCTAGTTCCCACCAGCCACAGTGCGTTCTGGCCCGAACGCATTGCGGCCGGCTCACTTTGTTGTGGGGAGGGGCAGTGCATTGAGCTCAATGGCACCGTAGCAACACCCTCCAGCTGCAATGCGATCAGCCCGCACGAGAACGCAAGGCACATCAATGCCTGTGGTCCGGTCAGAAAAAATGCTGGAAGCACGATTTTTTCTGACTGGACCACAACACAGGCATTGATGTGCCTTTCGTTCCCGTGCGGCCAATCACATTGCGGCCGGAGGGCATGGCTACGGTGCCATTCATTTCAATGCACTGCCACGCCCCTCAGGCCCCACAACAAAAGTAGGGTGTAATTCAATCCAGTGCATTCCAGGCCACAATCGGGCCGGAACGCACTGTGGCTGGTGTGAACTAGCCCATTTGTATTGATTTTGTTTGTTTTATGTATTTCTTCAAAAGAAAATGTCTCCAAAATGAGGGAAATCCTTTCTATCACAGTTGTCCGTCACCGTACAAGATCTATTTCCCATCTAGTGTCTATAGCACATTTTAGATTGTCTTCCACTTTTAGATTGCGTGACAAATAACAAATGTAACTTCTCTAGTGGCAAATGATAGGAACACATACTACACAGAAGTCATCTCAGAACTCTGATACAAGGATTGCCCCCAGCCTTTGTGTACAAACACATGCCGCACATGTTTGTAGCCGCGCCGACTGTCTGTACGGCGCCAACTTCCCCGGGAAGCGAATGGCAGGAAGCGCGTTCTTCTGTACGGAGGGGTTTGGTCTGTGCTGCGATCCGTAGCTTCTCATTGTGCTGCACGGAGCAGAGAGAGCAGTGTGAGCGGTGCCAGCACGGACAATGGCACAGAACGTTCAGAACGTAACGCTGGCACTGACCCTGCCGATCAGCTGTCACATCTGTCTGGGCAAGGTAAGGAGATATCAGGGGGGAGCGAATCTGTACAAGCTGAGGGCTCCAAACTTACCTACTGCCATGTGATCGTTCCATTTCACCGCTCCTCATCATTACCATCCTGCCTTGTGTTAACACTCACCGAGCTTAGCGATCCCCTGTATCGGGGTGATGATCGGAGCACTGTACCTGCTGGAGATGTCATGTTGGAGGATCTAAGCAATCACAGACTGTAAATAAGGCAAGACATAGAAGCACAGGTGGATTCAAGTAGAAGCCAAAAGTTTGTTATTTGTTTTGTCATGTCTCATAGTGTAAAGATTAACTTTCACTTCCAAAACAGGAAGTGAGAGGAAATCCCTGTTGTCACCAGAACTAGTGTCCCCATTAGAAGATTTCCCATATATTCCTGTTCTTCCAATAACCTCAAATTTGAGGTTTTCTTTCACTTTATAGCAGAACTCTGGGCAAAAGGGTTCTTAACCCTTGCAGTGGGGCTACCCCAGCTCTGCAAGGCCTAAGTGCTCCTTTTGTCTAGCTGCTAAAATAAAATTATACTCGCAGAATCCACGGGGCCGGTCAGCTCCTAGACCCTGTTCACACCAGGGCGGTTTTGTTGCGTAGTTTTTTCCGGTCCGAATCTCATGCAAATAAAATCCCATACATTCCTATGTGGGCTGTTATCGCAAACGCGTGGAATCGCACGTACCAATGCGCCTGACGCTTGATTTAGTCCCTGAGCTTCTTTTGTCGCGCTGATCAGCTTGTTTTGATCCATAGACTTCAATGGAAACGTGCTGATCAGTGCGTTTTTGCGCAATTCCATGCATTTTTATATGCATTTCAGAAGCTGAGTCTGCTTTCCATTGTTGGACAACTGAAAACGAGCTTCAAAAGCGTGCTGACCTATGAATAGAAAACGCATGTAAGATGCGCAAAAACAGCTCTGAAGCCCCATCGTCCTTGTGTGAATGGGGCCTTAGACCGGTCCCTGGAGCCTTGCTCCCACTCCGCTGAAGCAGTCAAGGATCCTTATGTCATCACGTTCTATACACTGTGTATAGGACGAGAGTACGTGGAGGGGGAGAGAGGTGAGCAGTCACTGCTGCAGGATCAAGGATCGGGTGAGTATTGCTTCTTTATTTTAGACCCTCGAGAAAAACGTATATATTTTGGCTTCAGTTGTAATCTGTAGTCATTTATATACAGTCACATTGTATTTTTAAGTGTTTTTAAACCCACTGCAATTACGTGAATATCATTGAGCATTGCTTACATGGTGTCATGCCACTGTCTTCCTGTTTATTAGTTTTCCTGAAGCTTATTTTATTTCCTATTACTAAAGCTGGCTATTTTTTATTTTATTTCCGGCTAAACAAAAAAAAAATCACAGATTCCTCCATCAACGTTAACGGAGAACTATGAGATGAGTGATTTCCACTTGAGACTGAAGACAATGAGATTTGTCACAGGTCGGCTCAGTAGATCGGGAGGTGAGCAAACACATACCGGGTTCGCTCACCTCTCGATCCTGTCACGGCTCTCTGTCGTGAGAGGGGGAGGGGCTGGATTCCCCTCTCCCCGCTCCGATCTGCCAGCGTTGACTGGCGGAACGGACGGGGAGGGGGCGGGTACAGCTGGCTCTGTCTCTAGATAGGCAGAGCCAGCTGTCACTCACGCAGCTGGGCGGATCCCGTCATCTAAGTCGGGATCCGCTCCGGCTGCGGCGTCTCAGTATACCGCGAGCTGTAGCTCGCGGTATACTGAGCTTAGGGTAACGGGAGGACGCTAGTTTGTGTCCTCCCGTTACCCTAAGGAGAACTATGGGGAAAAACACTGACCCCATAGTTCTCCTTTTAAGCATTGTTTGGCCTAAGATTTTCCAATCGGCTCCTTATTCTTCTGATCGAGGAATGCTAAGCCGAAGGGTGACGATAGAGTCACCAACTATGCCAATTTTGGTCGATTCGATTTGGTAGTGTATGGTCAGCTTAACCGTCTCTCTATGGAGCCACCACGTGCTCCTTCCCCTACTTGGACTACTGAGGCACGTGCAGCCGCTCTGTGCACCGACAATCGCATGTTTTTATGAATATTAGACATTCTCTGATTGGATAAGGGGCAGTGACATCAGAGAACACCTTGTATGATAAAATATTAGGCATACATACATAATAATTTATATATACGTACATTATGCCAAGCTGGACCAATGTAAGTAGATATAAATATTTATAGCTGGAGTTCAAATTCAAAGAACAACTCCAGGCAAAATGATCATTAACCCTTGAAGTGAGGCTACCTCCGCACTGCAAGGGTTAACTGCTTGTTTTGGTCTAGGGAGGAAAATAAAAAAGTTATACTCACCAGATTCTCCAAGCCGGCTTGCTCTTAGATTGGTCCTTCCGCCACGCTTCCCCCTCCACTGCAGCGGTCTAAGGTCCCTGAGTCATCACGTTCTATACACTGTCTATAAAACGGGAGATTGCCAAGGGACATCACTGCACGGGAGAAGGAGACAGGAAGGAGGGAGTGCTGTCACAGCCATCCGGCTCTGAGGATCAGGTGAGTACAGCTTTGTTCTTTTCCTCCCTAGACCAAAACAAGCAGTTAAAATAGAACTATGGGGTAAGTGTTTTTTCCCCATAGTTCTCTTTAGGGTCATGGGAAGACATATAATAACCTCCTCCCATGAGTACATAGCGGGCTATTGCCTGCGATATACTGAGAGCTCTGCAGCCAAGAGATCTACCCAGATGCGTGATTGACAGCGGGCTCTGCCTATCTGACAGTCACCGCTCACTGCAGGGAGATGATCGGGAAGTGAGCAGATCGGTCCATGTTTCTGCTCTATAGAGCCGACCTGTGGCAATTTCTTTGTCACAGGTCGGCTCTAACTATGAGGATGAGTGGAAATGACTCCCCTCATAGTTCTCCTTTAACTCTTGCAGTGTGGCGTTAGGGGGAGATCAAGAAGATTTATTAACCGCCATTCCAGCAGACTCTGGGGTTCACCTCATCTCCCTGATACCCCATGTTGTGCCCCTTAGTATCATCATGTATAATGTATTATTAGCCATCCATTGTATGTGGAGGAGGCAAGCGAGCGAACAGCAACGTCCTGGAGAGGAGGCCTATGGGAGTGTAGACTAAGTTAAGTATGATTCCTTATTCTTCAACCACTAGACTTAAGCTGGCCATACACTGCTCTGTTTTTTTCATTCAAACTGTGGGCTGAATGAAAAAACTTGACTTTTATCCTAAATCTGCCATGGGGGTGGGGGCCAGCTGAAGAATGAGAAAGCTGGCTCCCTTTGAGTTCACCAAGCAAGATGGCAGTGTGGGACAGAACCTCTGTGAGGACAGCGAGAGAAGATTACGCTGGATCCGTTGGGTTTGTAAGAATAAGAAGAACACCAATGGTATTTATTAGGGAGGGTAACGTTCCTCTTTAAGGAACCATGCATTCATTTATAAGGTATTCATCTACCAGGTAATTCCTGGAAGCTGGGGAGCACGTTTCTATAACTAATGATACCAAACAGCTAAAAAGACTGTCACCAGTAATTATTTATGACTTGGTCACCTAGCTTCTGGTTTTTGTCCAACTCTGCTATAAGACATGTATGTGCTGTGTAATGTGTCAGGCAGTGTATCACGCATTGTGAGCCTTTTTTTACTCTCGTTCACAGGTACGACAGCCGGTCATTTGTGTCAATCATCATGTTTTCTGTTCGGGTTGCATTGCCTTGTGGTTGAAGAACAACAACCAATGCCCAGCCTGCAGAGTCCCTATTACACCTGAGAATCCCTGCAAAGATATCATAGGTACTGTCAATGGCCTGATTTCCCTCGTGTCACTTGGGATGGTTGCAGTTAAAGATAAAATTGGAGAAAATGTTTTTGTTTTTTTTAATGAAATATACTTCTGTTTATGGCCGAGACCTGAGTAATAGGTGCCACACTCCTAGAAACATTGATAACACAGAAAGAAAGAGATGGGGTTCTTTAGGCACCAAATGACAACTCCAATGTGATTTAAGAGTAAAGTATTTTTAATAGTTCTATTTAAAAGGTAATAAATTCATATGTAGTATAAAACCATCAGCTGATCAGATAACTCCTGGGAAACTCACTCCATTTATGAACAATCCAATCAAGGATACATGATTAGATACTAAGGCCCCATTCACACTGAGCAAATCGCGCGACTTGCATTTTGTGCGATATCGCGCAAATGCTTGCATTGAGCAAGCTAGAATCGCGGCAAAATCCGCTCCAAAAAGGGTCCTGCTGTAGCGACGCGCGACTGACAGAGCCCCATTGCGATGCATTGGAGAGCAATATCGTGCGGTAAATAGCCGCGATATTGTGGGAATTACCGCGCGATAAATCGCTCAGTGTGAATGGGGCCTTAAAGTAGTGACATGATTCAAGAATGTGCACAATTCAATTCATTAAAATAAATAAGAATGGAACAGTATATTCTTTCCCCATGTGGGGACAACCCATTCAAAAATACATGATTAATTAGTTTGGAGTATTGACATGATACAAAATGTGCAAAACTCATGAGGGTAGTCGAAAATGGAGGAGTATATTCTTTTCTCGACGTTTCACGCTAAAAAACGCTTCTTCAGGAAATGGAGAATATCAATTAGGCAGGCTGATGTGTGTGTAACCAAGCAGACCCATCAGGGCAGCACACCCAAATAATCCTCCCAGGGGAGAGAGAGAGGAGCGAGGGCCGATGACCCAGTTTCCAGCAGTAGGGGGTAGAAGGCACACAGTCGTGTAGAAGCATGAAGTGGAGAGCCACCGGGTCTGGATCACTCATGCAGTTGCTCACTGCACCATAGAGAGGCCCCACATAAAAAAGTTTCAGTCCTCCACACACCCCCAAGCGACCAGCATCCAGCACCACTGCCCCAAGGCCGCACACGTTTTTTAATGAAGTAAATAGTGGCTTTGTAAGTCTACAAATTTACTTTTTTTATTTTCTTTTTTAGTCCTCTAAATATGAAAGAATAATAATTTTTTTTATTTTGTCAGAAGGTGGAGCTCCTGGCTTCTGCTCACATCTTTAAAGTTGAATTCTAGGCAGATGTAAAAGACATTAATTATGCAGCGCTGTAATCAATCATTTTTTTTCAAATGCTAGCAGTGTAAGTACTTGAATCTGGCCTGGTATCGGATTCTTAGTCTTTATACAGCAGGCATGGAGTGTAAGAAGAAGAAGCAGCACAAACAGCCAATCAGCACATGTGCTAACAAAAAGCATGCTGATAGGAGGTGAAAGCAGAGTGACGGAGAGATGAGCTCATCACTGTGCTGCTTAATGGTTTTAAGATTAGTATTTCAAAAAAGCTTGTTTTGTTACTCATTTGTATTGAGTTATTTTTGGCTGGAGAACTAAAATACTTAAATGCTGTTTTACACTATGGAGGCGCTCCTTTATGCTTTGTTTTCTAACCCATCCTGTGATGGGGTGGCAACAATGCCACACTGCTTCTGAATTCAGAGCAGAGTTGTCGTGCTCATGTAGGCAGTGCTGGCTTAAGCTAAAGTGGGATGAAAAATTGTTTCAGGGGGCACGGCTATTGGCATTGTTATTGCTGGTTGACAAGCCTGTACCCTGTCAATCAGCACCTAGCTGCACCTAGTGCTGCCCACTGCTTCCGGATTGACAGCACTGCCTCTGTTGCTGAATTCCTTCCCCATTTAGTGTCTGCGAAGTAAGTGAGGCACAAATGAAGGAGGGTTTGGCTCAGTCGGGGAAGGTAAAGGAAGTTTTTATTTACTTTATGAGGCTGGCCTATCACATAGTATGTGGATTTGGGACTTGTTAGACTGTCATACAGGAGCCTTTAGTTGTACAGTAATAAGCCTGTTATTCACAAGCTCAGTAGATGCAACTTACATAAACAGAAGTTGATAACTCATCCTAGTGGCCCATCCCTTATCAGGCTAGGTTTTAATCAGACAGAAGGAGTTGCAAAGTAAGTAGGGTCTGCTGTGATGTTTATTTAGCTAACCTGTAGTGCTCTGGGAATGCTTTATCAAATAAAACATATAACCCTGTTACAAAACTTACATAAAATGATTCCTAATCCATTATAGTTTACCTTTTGAGTATCTGGTTTGAGATCTAGCTCTTTGGATTTATAGATGTTTTCTTTTGTAGGTGGGACAAGTGAAAATGAAAGTGTGCTCAGTCATTCAGTACGAAAACATCTCCGAAAAACTAGACTTGAGCTTCTTCAGAAAGAGTATGAGGTAATGTGATTTATTTTATTACTTGCAAAGTATGCCTGTTCCAACAAAG